ATTATTCACGCAAACTTTTATCCCGATATAATCATTGTTGCTTGATTTACATAGTGGAAAGTGAAAGAATCAAATGGAATTTAAAATGTTATATGTAAAATAGTCGTGGTTGTAATCCGATTTTGCCCATTTTCGCACTATAACACAGAAATATGTGAAGAATGTTATGTACCGAATTTGGTTGAAATCGGTTGAGCAGATCCCAAGATAGGGGTTTTCACCTTGAAGTGGGCGGTGCCCACTGTCTTATTTTGAACGCGTTTCCTATAAAGTCATCGCATACCATCCCAGGAAAATTTAATGTCTCTGGCGTGTTTAGTGCTTGATTTATCGCGCTTTTACTTATTTTCACACTGTCGTGAGAAGTGCTAAAACCATTTGTTCTCAGTGAATTTTGTTATTATAGCATTAGCTGTTTAGGATATATGCACATTAAACCTATTAGGGAGTGCGACCACGCCCACTTTTTAAAAAATTTGAAATAGCAGATGCCCCTCCCTAATGTAATCCTGTATGCCAAGAAACAGTCTTGTATCTTATTGTATAGCTTAGTTATGGCAATTTATTTGTTTTTGATTAATGGCGTTTTGTATCCGTGGCAGTGGTCCGCCCATCGCCCATCGGCAATACCAACCGTTTTACGGTACCAAGAAACATGTGTACCAAGTTTCATAAAGATATCTCAATTTATACTCAAAAAGTTACAGCTTGCACGGACGGACGGAGAGACAGTCACCCGGATTTTAACACGTCTCTTCATCCTGATCAGTTATATATACATAACCCTATATCTAACTCGATTAGTTTTAGGTGATACAAACAACCGTTAGGTGAACAAAACTATTATACTCTGTAGCAACAGGTTGCGAGAGTATAATAAATGTAAATTTATTGTACCATCATTATTTATCTGTAGTATATCAGTATACCTGAAGTACCCTGAAATATTGCATAGGCGTATCAGATAATTCCAAATGCATTACCTATGATCGAAAATATTAGGACCATGTTAGGATTCAAGGAATTTATCTTCATCTAATGACAGATGCTATAATACTCTTCACGAATACAAAAGGTCTTGGTTTTGATCTGTCAGTTTATAATGTAGCTATATGCTATAGTGATCCGATCTGAACAACTTCTTCGGAGATTGTACCGTTGCCTTGGACAAAAACCCATACCAAATGTCGTGTATATATTTTGTTAAATAAATAGGTTTTCCATACAAACACTTGATTTCGATCGTTCAGTTTGTATCTGACCAATTTTTTCGGTAATTGCACAACTGCACAAATGAAAAAATTTTCCGTGCAAGCATTTGAATCCGATTCGACCGACAGACGGACATGGCTAAATCGACTCAGCTCGTCACGCTGACTTTTTATCTTTATATATATTTTTCTTGTGTGCGTGTGTATGTCACTGAACTCCTCCTAGACGGCTGGACCGATTTTGATGAATTTGGTTTAGATTCACAATTTGGTCCAAGGAAAAATGCTTATTTACTTATTTTTCATTTATAAGTAGTTGTTAATTTTGGAATGTTTTACATTGGATCCGGTAGACTGCGCTACCCTCGCAGATGTTAGAACGTTTTACATAGAATTCCGGCAGACTGCGCTGCAGTGGTGACAGATATTCAAAAGTATATTTGAGCCTGATAGATGGCGCTGAGATCAGATTCTAAGATAGCATAAGTATAGTTTAAACTATTAAGACTATAGACATGTGTATGGTGTATAGTGTCTAAACATTCATCCCTTATGCTATGCTACTCTATACGGAAATAGAGACTACACAAGGACCAAGATTAGTCCTGAGGATTAATCATAAAAAAAATCATGGGCAACATTTTTGAAGCCACTATTTTGAGTAGAAAATTTCAAGATGAAGTTGTACTTCTGCCACGGATTCCAATGATTCCTTCAGATTCGCCGATACCATTTAAACATTTATAATTACCCATCTGCTTGGCATTTGGGATAACTATTAATAAGGCACAAGGACACAATGACGATTTGTTTGACGATTATACCTCTCAAGGATTAACCAAAAATATTGTACATCCTATGGCATTACGATAACTTCAGTTTTTGTGTGATAGTTAAGAATAAATACCCGTTATAGAATAGTTTAAGACTCAACCTTTTCACCTGCAATTAAAAAAACTTCAAGTTTTCATTCAATACAGCTTCTATATTTAACATCTCTGAAAGCATACTAATACATATACTCACTGCTATTGTTCGAATTCTGATAAATATATATGAATGACGTTAGGTATTGTAACAAGTTTGTTGATAAAAATTTTCATCAAAACGGTCTAATTGTTACAGCTTATTTCAAAAAGTTTACATTAAAGACGTGGGACAGGACAACGTCTTTCGGGCTTCTAGTATACTTATATACTTTATAGTCTCCGAGGTTTCCTTTTTGGGTGTTATAAACATTGTGGCAAACTTAATATATCCTGTTCAGAGTATAAAAAAGACAGAAAGATGTGCCACATTTAGAGCAAGAAATTAAAACGAAAATAATCTGCTATTTTTTATACTCTCGCAACCTGTTGCTACAGAGTATAATAGTTTTGTTCACCTAACGGTTGTTTGTATCACCTAAAACTAATCGAGTTAGATGTAGGGTTATATATATATAAATGATCAGGATGAAGAGACGAGTTGAAATCCGGGTGACTGTCTGTCCGTCCGTGCAAGCTCTAACTTGAGTAAAAATTGAGATATCTTTATGAAACTAGGTAGACATGTTTCATGGTACCGTGAGACGGTTGGTATTGCAGATGGGCGTAATCGGACCACTGCCACGCCCACAAAACGCCATTAATCAAAAACAAAAACCTTGCCATAACTAAGCTCCGCAATAAGATACAAGACTGTTATTTGGTACACAGGATCACATTAGGGAGGGGCATCTGCAGTTAAAATTTTTTTTTTAAAAGTGGGCGTGGTCCCGCCTCTAATAGGTTTAATGTGCATATCTCCTAAACCGCTAATGCTATAATAACAAAATTCACTGGAAGCAAATGTTTTTAGCACTTCTATTGACGGTGTGAAAATAGTTGAAATCGGGTGGCAACTCCGCCCACTCCCCATATAACGATACTGTTAAAAACTACTAAAAGCGCGATAAATCAAGCACTAAACACGCCAGAGACATTAAATTTTATCTCTGAGATGGTATAAGATGACTTTATAGGAACCGCGTTCAAAATTAGACAGTGGGCGTGGCACAGCCCACTTTTAGGTGAAAACCCATATCTTGAGATCTGCTTAACCGATTTCAACCAAATTCGGTGCGTAACGTTCTTTTCATGTTTCTATGTCATAGTGCGAAAATGGGCGAAATCGGATTACAACCTCGCCTATTTTCCATATGACACCATTTTAAATACCACTTGATTCTTTCACTTTCCACTATGCAAATCAAGCAACAATGATTATATCGGCGTAAAACTTTGCGTGAATAATGCAATTAAAGTATGCCACCTTGCGGCCAAAAATTGTCTAAATCGAACCAAAACTGTTCAACCCCTAAGTACTAAATATGTGGACCCCAGTGCCTATAGTTGACCTTCTACCGAAAATATCAGTCGATCCACAAAGAAATCTCAAACGAGTATACCATTTGACTTTGCGAGAGTATAAAATGTTCGGTTACATCCGAACTTAGCCCTTCCTTACTTGTTATTTCTAGCTTTTGTTGTAAGATTTGTTATGTGCTACTCTTGTATGTTTTTCATTTGTTACGTAGCCTCTGCTTCTGTTATCAGCGTGTTACCGCTGGTGAATAACTCGTCGGAACATTTAAGTGGTTTCCAATATGTTTTGTTCCATACTTCTTTATGTCACACGCTATAAAGAAAGACACTTGTAAAATTTGTTTAAGAAAAATTATTTAACTCAAATTTAAATGTCTAAAAAAATCCATTATTAGTATTTTAACTTTCAAAATAATAACAATAATTGATATTTGTTTTTGACATATGGAAATTGTTAACAATTTAAAATTGTTTGTGGCTTAAATTGTATATTTTCCTTGTAAATGAAAAATAAGTTCTTCTTGTTTATTTTTATCCACTTATAGGAATATTCACTGTCTACCAGGATGGGCGGCTCTTAAGATGAAATTATTTTTAAAAGCACTGATATTATCACTTTTTGTAACATTCGGAACGTCGGAAGGTCATTCCAAATTTTGATATTCCTGAAATTCCTGTTGCAACAGTGTTCTGTTAATCGGTTCCGCTAAGGGACTTTTCTGGGATGACTGAACATAATAAAATAACTAATTTTTTTTTTTGTCAAAATCAAGCATGTAGGTGTATTAGGTAAGGGATTTGGGGTTAGAAAAGTATAGTTTTTTATAAGGTCAAATGTTGCAAGCTTGAAACAGGGTCTAAGTGTTAAATGAAAAATTAGACCAACTTTTAGTATTTTTCCATTTTTAATTTCTTTTCATAAATATTATGTTTTGTAAGAGCGTAGTTGAGAGTATGGGTGCGTTTGAGATGGTAAACACGACAGCTGTGTTGCAAATTCGTCAAGGTATCACGTTCTGCGTGAATTTCAGACAACTGCAACACGTTATACTATCACTTTTTGCACTCGATATATGCAAATAATCGGTAACACTAAATTTTTGTCTGCACATCAGCAGAGTATCAGCAAATATGCAACATAGTGGCTATACTGCTGTAATTATTACGTAGCTCAAATGCACCCTAGAACATATTTTATTGCAGAAACATCTGTTGTTGTTAAAAATAGAAGAGGTAAAAAATACAATATACATCCCACGTGACATGATATTTGATCTGGAGTGCTTTAGCATTTTAAGCGGTTAAACACAAATTTACTTAGCCGGTTGTATACGCGGATGTCTACCTGTATTTGCGATTCTACAATATAAAAGTTATGGAAAATCTAGATCAATAAATAGAAACCACGCAAGTAATCAAATTTGTTGTTATTTTTTCATTTCAGGTTAAATTTGGCTTTGCACTGTAACAAATTAACCATTAATACTAAACAACGAATAAACTTCAGAAATGTGCCTCGTTAATGTCGTTTTGGCACTAAAAAAATAATAAGGAAAAAATAGTGGATTAATAAGCAACTAATGCAGCTAAGGAATCAGATCTAAAAAGTCGAGAATGGTGCAACTACTACACTGAATGGCATAATGCTATCTTTACCATAAAAATTGAGGATGTAAGTTCCGCTTCAGGAAACATTTATTCAGAAACCTTGTAAAAACAGCAACACTTTTAAAATTTTGATAGGTTGGAAAAGTAGTAACCTTTAAGCCGTTATTAAAAACGTGAGTTAAAATTTAAAATCTAAGAATTGTATTGAAAGATTTTTACAGTATCGAACGTTATTAGTACTTAATTTCTCCTTCAACTCCATTTAAGCTTCTCTTCCATTGAAACAGAAATCATTTTATTAGGGATAAGCGGTATAAACCGATTTAATTCATATTCAGAGCTAAACCACATAATGTTTATGAAAACATTGAAACATCACAAAAAAAAAAAGTCTGAAGTAGTTGTATTATATGTATTTGGGCTAGGGTAAGTACTAACCCGATTTGATCTATTTTTGGCATTACGACGTGCTATTATTAGGACAAGATGCTCTCTGAGTTTCATTAAGTTACCTCATTATGGACCAAAATATACGGTATAAAGTCAAGCGGATGCATGAAAATCCGTATAGAAAGTATATGTGGGCTAAAGGAAGGATAGAACCGGTATTTGCCATATTCGACAGCATGACATACTATGATACACCCCGAATTTGATTAAGGTACCCCCAGATTGGTACCCCCTGAGGTCCACATATTCGATATCTGGGAAAAGTTATAGTCCGATTCCGAATATTTTTGAACGTAAGATGGCACACTTTAAATGCACCGCAAAAAAATGCATACAAAGTTTTTTCCGATAACGTCACTGGCTCTCGATTTATATACTGTAAAGTGAAAGTCAAATTTGAAATTGTGATATATGGGAAGTAGGTGCGGTTGTAGCTAAATTTTACAATATCACATAAGGAGTTTCTGAGATAAAGGATTTCATCCAAAAATGGACAGTGCCACCCCTATTGTCTAATTTTAACTCCGGCTTCCGTGGAGCGCTTTCTGATGTATTTGTTTTTAGTAGTTTTCTACTTAACTTTTATATGAGGAGTAGGCTTGATTATCATCCTATTTCAGCCATTTTCACACTGTCTAACAAGGTTCTGAAAGAAATTGCTCTCAGCAAGTTTAGTTGATATTGCCTTTGTGTTTAGTAAGATATTTAAACTTAATAGGGGCGGGCGTCGTTCACTTATTAAACTTTTCAAACCACAGATGACCAACCTAATTCAATGCCTTGTGGCAAATAACGGTATTGTATCTTTGCGTAGTTAAAGTCTTTTACAGTTTTACGAGTATTGATTGACACTGTGGACTGCAATAGCGACTTTCCAATAACACTGGGAAACAGTAGTTTTGTTTTATGAAGTTTCTTATGCTGATTCCAAATCTGAAGTGAGTTTTTCTCTAGCAGCTCTAGCTGGTTTCGAAATATGAACATATTACATTTTAAGCCAATAATACTACAATTTTAAAATAAATTGCTCTTACTTAACATTAAAAAAAAACTTTCTTTTCTGTGCTTTTCTTGCATGGGTAGAAACATCAGAAACATAAACAACTTGTTTTAAATGCTCTAGCATCAATCAACCATCATATTTGCATTCCAACGACCCAGATTTTTTCAAATATCGTAAAAAATACCGACATTATTTGCTGTGCTCAATTTCGGAAATATTTTACTGAAACGTTTCCCATCCTTATTTAGAGCTTTTACAAACTGTTTCATTATACCTAACTTTATTTGAAGAGAGGGTTATATAATGCGGTCTCTGGCTACTAGAGGGGCATTCATCAAATTTATACTACTCGGTACTAAATTCACTTTCAAAGGTTAAACTTTTTTAGTTTAGTGTCCTGCCTTGTCTCGGCTATCCATAAAACAGAAATGAAAGATAACTTACCATTTTTACATCGACGTATATCAGCCAGTTATGTTCTATGTATTTTATTACCAAGGCTACCGTTGGATATTCCTCTTTAACTTTAAAAAACATCTCATTTTATTTCCATTATGTAAGAGCACACATTTAAGATTACGTTTCGACGAATCAATAAATTAACGCCAATCTCTTGGATCATAGTTTGTTAATCCCGTTTCAATCATCAAACCAGAAATATTGTTGCAAAATAAAAAATTTCAAGAAGTACTTGTATCAGTAAAACTAAAGCTGCTAGAAAGAAACTGAGATAGATAGATTTGAAATTAGCGATGTCAGATTAGTAAGAAACAGTTAATAAACTTCATAAAACAAAAAAAGTTTAATTTTGTTAACCAGTGTAATATAAAGAAAAACGTGTAACAAATTTCATGAAGATGTCTAAATTTTTACTCAAATTATCGCTTGCAGAGTTGGACGGACAGTATTCCAGAAATCAACTCGTCTTTTCATCCTAATTAATCCCACAATAGCTATCTTCGATTCGCCGCCATTTATCTGCCGTTATCTTCTATATTTACGCGCTGCTCTCTTGTAAAACAAAAAATGTAAAATCAATAACAAAGTTATCGAGTTAAAGTTAAATAAAAATTTCTATCTATTTCTCGTATTTTTAAGACCTAAGACTAAAAGTCCATTATAGTAACTTATATGAAATAAAAATAAAAGCTTACAGCGATGTTTTTTACGCGAAAAAAATGTCCCCCACTAAGAAAGAATCGTTTGACAAACAAAACTAGTATACTCTGTTACAACATGTTGCTATGTTTCCACTAGATCTGGTTGATTCAGCTATAATAATTTGGGTGATATGTATGTATATTAGATATTTTATGGAGTTGTGCTATGCTCACGTGTTTAATACCCAGAAAAAAACGTCGGATTCTCCAAAAAGTATATATAGGGTGATCCATTTCGAGGTTCTTTACTTTTTAAAGAAAAAACGCAGAGAATTCAAATTTAATAAAGACTGTTTATTTTCATTCCAAAGAACATTCGTTGGCATTTATTTTTTAAAGATTATATCTTTCTCTACGTCTCAGATTGTCCATCCGTTGAGTCCAATTTTCGATGACTCGTACGAGCATTGCTACTGGAAACTGGCGAATGACATGCGTGATGTTTTGCTCCAAGGCCTGAATCGAAGCGAGGTTGTCCGCATAGACTTTAGACTTTATATATCCCCACAAGAAAAAGTCTAACGGTGTGATACCACCCGATCTTGGTGGCCAATCGACTGGTCCAAAACGTGTAGTGAGCAAAAGTATCTGCTCACCGAAGGGGTTTTTCAATAAATCCATTGACTGATGCGATGTGTGAGAAGTGGCGCCGTCATGTTGAAATTAAATGTCACCGAGAAGCTCGTGATTGCTCAGGCAACCTCGGTTATAGTGGCGCGATAACGGTGGCCATTGACCAGCATCACCGGCATCATTTTTGAATAAATATGGACAGATGGTTCCACCGGCCCACAAACCACACCAAAAACCGTTGTTTTTTCTGGATGAAATGGCAGCAGTTGAATCTCTTCAGGTTGCTCTTCGTCCCAAATGCGGCAATTTTGCTTGTTTACGTTCTCATTGAGCCAGAAATTGGCCTCAGCGCTGAACAAAATTTAGCTCAAAAACGTCAGAGCTTGTTGGAACTTTTCAAGAGCCCATAGAGCGAAGCGATGTCGCATGGGGAGGTCGAGCGGCTTCAGTTGTTGCACATGCTGTATTTTGTACGCTTTTCGCTAAAATGCGCCATGTCGTTCCATACGTCAGTCCGATTGCTGCGAACGGCGCCGAATCGACGCTCCACGGTTTTCGTGTACACTCTCAGCTACGGTCGCTATATTTTCTTCATTGCGTGCTGGACGTGGTCTATTCGGTCGAATATTATCTAATAATGAATGCTGGATCTCAAGATGAGTAATGGTGTTGCGGATAGAACGCTTAATAGGCCGATTATGTTGACCATAAGTTGAGCAAAGCGTTTCGCACACATTCCTTACAGAACGTAAATTTTCGTAATAAAGTTGAACGATTTGTAAACGTTGTTCAGGCGTAAGTCTTTCCATGATGAAATGCCAAACAATACTGAACAAAAGTATTATGAAAGCTTGACACGACTTACGCGTGATCTGTCAAAATAGGATAATTGGAAAAAGTACCTCTACTTGGATCACCCAATATATATAAATGATCAGCGTGACGAGCTGCGCCGATTGAGACATATGTGTATGTATATATGGTACTAGTCTCTCAGTTTTTGGTATATCGATTTGAAATTTTACACACTTTCTTTTCTCCCCAAGAAGTTGCTCATTCTTTGGACCACTATAAGATATTGCATCATCCAATTTAATTGGTCAACATCAAGTCCTTGTTTGAAAAACCTTTTTATTCGGTAAAAATGAAGATCTTATAGAAAACTTTTTTTATTTAACAAGATATCTTCACGAAATTCGCAATAGATTATTGTACAACGCAACGCTACAATATCCAAACAAATTGGTTAGATCGGACTATTATAGCGTATAGCTGCTGTTCAAATTGACCGATAAAAATCATGATACGGCTCTTCATAAAAGCCATTTATGCCTTATTAGGTAGTCTTTGTACGACATAAAGGTTGCTTATATCAAACAAGGTGGTTAGAAAGAACTAACAAAATGTTTTCCGTTGGACGCAAATTGTTGGACGGATTTCATTTCAGATTTGTTAATACTCGTAGATATAATAGTTGGTATGAAAAAAGAACCTGTGATCCTCTATACCAAAATTTTTGGTTAACGGAAAATTATGGCCGTGGCAATGGTCAGATTTTGCCCATCTGTAATACCAACTTCGTTACTAAGGAACACTTGTTTCAAGCTTTGTCATTGTATCTCAAGTTTTACTTAAGTTATCGCTGACACGGTTAGATGGTCGGTTGGTCTCGTCATCCTGATAATCTTGATATATGCAAATAACTCTATATCTATCACAATAAGTTTTAGACGTTATAAGTAATCGTTAAGTGATCAAAACTATTGTACTATTTGCAACATGGTGTATAAAAGTATTAGGTCAAAGCTCAGTGGGAACAGCGATAAATACAAACGACAATGTTGTAAGCAGATAAGGAAATATTAAATTAAAGAAGCTATCAATCATTTATTTTGACAAAAACACAACAAACCTAAACCAACAAGAGAGAAATTTATGATTTACTTAACTATGGTGTACATATATATGTCCTTCTTGTTAGGTGGCACGAGCCCGAATATTTGGTGCTACAGCTCAGCGGAAAAATTTAGTTTGACAGCCGTTTGATATACCGGAGGGGTCGTTCCATGTCTGGATTGCCCAATTTGGAAACGATAGCATTGTATAGGGAGAAGACAGCATTAGCCTCACTCAGTACAGTCACCGAAATTTACATTATCTACGAATACAAGCAGAATAGTGTAAAACGTAACTTGCATGAAACACTTAGCCCATTTGTTGCCAAAAATGCTGACAATATTAACTTAATTGATCAACACATATTCATCAGAATACAGAGAAATAAGGGTTTTCATTTGAATATCAGCAATGAAACTAGCAACAACGTAATAGAAAAACGAACTAAAACAATAGAAAATATTACACCCGAGAAATCGACCCTAAATAAGCTTAAATCCAGTATTGTAGAAGATACCATCATATTAGAAGCTACACTGGAATACAAAATGAATCCACAAAACATTACCTTACAATTGCCGGGAACTGAGAATTTCGCGAATAATTTGTCCGACTCTAATTGCAGTAGGGTACTGAATGTGGACGCTGTTTCCTTTAATGCGGGTAGCGAGCGCATATTAAACGACAACAGTGATAATATTAGTAAAAGCGACATCAACAAAATGGATATAATTGAACGTGAACGGGACCGCAAACGTAAACGTTGTTTAACTGAAGAAGATCACAACCGTATAACACGCCACAAAATGCAACAGCAGCACCAACTACTGCATGAACAAGACCTCAAGCAGAAGTTTCAAATGGAGGCACAAAGCCGTCTAGTACACGTGGCAGACGAGGGTGATAAAACAATAGTGTTTCCCAAGAATTTGCGTCCCTCATCAGAGTTTGTTCCACCTAACTACGATAGTAACAATACCGAAAGTACTAGTCTTGATATAAACGATGACGAAGCACATGCAAAAAAACTGCTGCGTTCAACTATAGCTGGTCTCAAGCAGAAAACTGTCCCAAAAGTTAGCAAGAGAAGTTATGTTTCGGAACGCAAGCGGTTTAAGCAAGATGAAGACGCAAGTTGCCGAAATCAAAGCAAACGCGCATTGATAAATAAATATCGCAAACGTATGGCCCAAAAAGTGGTAAAAAAATCGGATTTTGAGGGATCTGATTGCTGTGGGGATGATGTTCATAATGAACAAGCCGATGGTTGTGAAAATGAGCTTTTCAATTCTGATAACAGCAGTTCTAGAGAAAAGCTTGAAGATACGGATGTGTTGGAGGATCAACTAGGTAAACAGCGACTGGAAACTGACACATCAAATGTGCTAGACTATAATACGTTTCGAATTCTAAACGATAATAATAGTTTGAAAATGCGGGAAACATCAACTAATTCACTTACACAAAATACGGCCAGAATGTTTTATAATGGAAAGGAGTACGCAGATAGTAGTAGATTTCAGAGTACTCTGTATTGCGGTCATAATGAAACGCACATTACTGATGCTACTACGAAAACAACACCATGCAACCCACGGCCCTGGGAAGAAAACGTGCCGTCCAATTCAGTTATGCAATTGTCAACAAAACGACCAGAACTACATCAACAGAACAGTAATTTGCACGAATTCATTGAGGCGGACCGTAGGCTTGTGCTACCCTATTCAACATCCACAGAAAACACACAGACAACCGGTCTAGCACAACGTGCGCATAGCTATAGATATGATATAATGAATGTTGGAAACGAGCGATCGACAACGAAAACAAGCCCGTACGTTGACAGTGACGTAGACTTAAAGCAATATGAAAATGCTACAGCTGTCAGCTGTTGGCAGCACAACAAAACGAATTGCAATATAACTAGTGCTGAAAACAGTGCTAATAATATTGATGATAATGATAAGGGCTGCACAAGTGAAAGCCCTGTTAGGGAGAACATTGACTGTAATAAAGAACAAACGTATGTATCCAGCCAATTACATAGTATAAAAGATTGCAACAGGGAGCAGTCAGTTTATGCAGAGGAGCGTGCAGGTGATAGTAACTCACAGCAGTTAGCAGTCACAAATATTAATGACATGAGTAATTGCAATACATCTCTTATGGGTAGTACCGTTAATTTGAAAGAAACTGTTCATTCAACGCAGCCGTCACGAAGGCACAACGAAAATATGGAAAATATTTGTAATGTCTATGATGAAGTTGAAAGTGCCGGCACTAACGCTAAGACGAGCAAGGATTCAAATTGTGTTGAACAACACGATGAGGCGTATATCGAAAAACCAGAAGTGGATCGATATGCCTTATCATTAGACGAAACCAGTAAGACCAAAAGCTCAGCATTAACAACAGTATCAACTACTACTACAAATATAAATGATATAAATGATACCACCACTAGTAATATTAATACTACTTCTACTTCTACTACTACTATTAATACTACTAGCTCTACGATTACAAAAGGTTGTGTTTCAACAAATGTTACTATTAATAAGATTCCTAATTCTGATGATACAAAATCAGATTCCTCTGCAGCAATAAAAACACCGGCTGCAAAAGTATATGCAGCTAATACCGTGGATTGTTGCGAAAACGGCAAACAATTGGCATCTACAAACATAGTTAATGAGCATGGGTTAGGCGAAAGTACTTATAATTTGAACAATTCACAGGAGTTAGAAGAAACTTTATCAGCATCAGCAACAACATACGCCCCTCCACACACCAGCACCAGCGACAATTTAGATAACCGCAATGAGCCCTGGACCCCAACGCCTAACGAGGCCTACCAACGTTATAACAATAGCAATAATTTTTGCCAAACCCCTGTTGATGGTGGTTCAGAGGCCTGCCTGTCGGGGACAGCTGAGTTGGGCTACAAAATATCAGACGATCGCAGGGAGAAACCGTTAAAGGACCAACAGACTGCTGTCAACAAACAAAATGTAATTAATTACACTGCTGAGAAAGAGCATCAGCTGAATTCAAAAACTTCACACGAAAGTGAATACTTACCGCGGCAGTCCACCGATGCTTCTGTCTCAATGAGCGCCACGAATATATACAATACTGAATTACAGCTACAACAGCAAAGACAAGGGAGTCAGGACATTCAACACTATATGCAGGCGCAGCTATGTCAACAAATGCAGCACCAGCAGCGGCAACAACTGCATGATCAACAGCAAGAAGAGTTAAATCGTCATCATCACCATCAGCACCAACAGCAATATCCTCATGATGCATCTCAAGTAGTACAACAAATTTCGTTGCACGATTATAATTTACATAGCCATTCGCAACAACTACATCCGGTGCATGATGCTTTGCGGCATAGCCATCAGCAGACCCAACATTTTGCGCAACAGCATCAGCATGAACAAAGGCATGATGAGGAACAGCAGCAACATTTAATTGCATATTTACATCACACTACCGAACAGACCCGATTACAGGAACAATTACAACACCATGAATATCAACAACACCAGCAACAATTTCTACAAGAGCAACAAAATCGTCGCAATCAACATCAGCAACAACAACAAATGCAGACAAATTTTCTGTTAATAGCCAAAAAACAGCCGAATCAACAGCCGCATATATCAATGGATTTGAAACGTATAAATCGTCCGCCACCCACTAGTATTGATGACCTCATAATAGACGAATTCTCAGAAGATCCCCATGCATCCTATAAACTGTGAGTAGTGTATGAGACTCATATAGCTTATTTACTAAATTTAGTTATACATACATGTAGTTTAATTATAAAAAAAGTTTGGAATCAGTAATAATATTTCCATATCCTTTATAGGTAGAATTTTTAAAACATTAGGCTAGACATATCAATAAATACTATTAGTCAGCATGCTGTCATTATTTTGTTTTTTTAATCAACTAACTGCTAACTAGTAACGTGGTGGTATATGAGGCTAGCAGCATGGTGATAAAGTTGCTTTTCTCCTTTCAAGGAGAATAAATTATTTTCGAATCATGCTGTCAATGATTAATCGTAGCTGCCACGAAAGATACGTCGGAGACCCTACAAAATATATATATAAATGATCAGCGTGACGAGGAGCTAAGTTGATTTAGCCATGTCTGTTTGGCTGTCCGTCTGTATATACGCGAACTACTTCCTCAGTTTTTGAGATACTGATCTAAAATTTTGCATACATCCTTTCCTTTCCAAGAAGCTGTTCACTTCCTGGAACCGTCAATATCGGACCACTATAGCATATATGTAGCTGCTATACATACTGAACGAACTTTTTAATTCGACAAAGTATCTTCACAAAATTTTGCATAAATTATTACCCAAGACATCGCTTAAATCGCCGAACAAATTGTTCGGATCGAACTCCAGTCTTGCTATGGCAAACTTTTTTACTTGACAAGGTATCTTTACGAAATTTGGCAAAGATTATTATCGAAGGCATTGCTCAAATCTCCGAACAAATTGTTTACATCGGACCACTGTATCATATGGCTCATACAAACTGTTAAGGTTTTTTCTTGTTAAGACTTAATCGTGCTAAAATTAGTATGGCTTAATGCCATATAGATTTTTGAATATAAAAAGTCAATTATAACAAATTTCGGGTACCACAATTCTATGAAAAAGAAAACAATAGTATAAGTAATTTCAACGACTAAACAATTAACATTATTTAACGATGATTTCCGTACACAAAGCCCAACATGACACTATTTCTGAAAAAAACCGAAGTGCAGATGTGGAATCACAATATGTATGTCTATGGCGGCTCATACGCTTATATTAACACTGGAACTACGAACCGGTCAAAATGACCGGTTGCATCATTTATTTATACCATTTCCTCTTTATTCCTATTTAATATTTTACGATATTGTCATGATTTTTATTAAATTTGTGTATAAAATAATATTATAGATTAGTTTGTTCTTACGCTTCTAATTTTCAAAGAGAGAGACCTATTTGAAATAGGTATATGGAAATCTTCGTAGTTCTAGTGTTAACCATGAGGTGTTGCCAAGTGTTTAGGTGATATAAGTATGTACATATGGTGTTGAAATGTTTACTTTGTTAGTTACGTCAATAGAAAATCAAAGTAAGCGATTAGGCAAAATAGTGCTAATACAAGAATGATAGAAGAAAGATAGCGCCATCTTGACGGCATGAATTTAAGAATGAGAAGAGGTAACACAGAAAAGCTGTCAAATGGCTGGTATATTGTAAACAGTTAAATTGTTAAATTTATTACGTCACCGCTTGCACTTTATTGCTACCTTCTTGGTCACAACTGTTACAGCCTAAACCGAGAAAAGTAACTGTAAATACTTGGCATAATCTCTACCTCTATCATTCAAGATAGTAATATAAATGTCATGTAAGAGAATTTTACTTCTTCACCCGTGATTTTCTTCTCAATTTTATATTGATAACAAAGCCCCAGAAATATTGGAATTACTATTACGGATATGACTTAACTCTAGTATAATAGTCGAAATGACGCACTAATTTTTTTACGCTCTCACTTTTATTTGTGTTCAGAGCAACTTCAAAAGCACAGTTTCCTCAGTCGGTATTTATGTATTTATGTGTATTTCATAAGACTGAAAATGAATGAATATTGATCTCAGTCAAAGAACCAAAAACGTTAAATTAAAATTGATGTTATGTGCTTAACGTAACATTGTTAAAACGATACCCCAAATTATATTAAACTTTATACTTTATTACAGTGCTCTTTCACCAAATCACGTTAAGCATGAAAATCAAGATGATGGCTATGAGACCAGCGCCGGCGATGTGCTCACCCCGAATTCCCACAGCTCATCAACACATTCGGTGACGCCACAGCATCAGATGCAGCATGGTATCAATCTTATACCTCAACTGAAGTGTGAAGATCAACAAATGATAATGCAACAGCCACTTCAAAGCACTGCTATTGATGAAATTAACCAACAACAACAATCGCCGCGGAATAATACACAAGGAACATTGCATAGAATGGCCAATACAGATAATCAAAACGACGAAATATCTGGATTGAATGGGAAGGAAAATTTGTCTACGGATTCATATTCCTATTTGGAGGACATAGCGGGAACAATGACAGCAGTTTCCAATACTAATAACACAGGAAATAAAGGGATTATTAATATGCCGCAGGACGCACAACTTAGTAGTGAGACTGTTAAAAATAGCGATCCAATTGTAGAATCTTATATGTGTGCGCCCACTAATATAATGAGCCATCATGTGAATGATATGTATAGTATTCAAAATCAGCAGCAACACCAAAACCAGCCACAACAACAGCAGCAGTTGCATACGACCAACATCGAATTACCCCAATCAATGGATTATAATTTAAAAATGACACCAACATCTGGAAACGGATTAAGCGATGCTGAACAGTTGGAACATACTGTGATACATCAAAACTTGCATCAGCAACAGCTACAACTTCCGCAACAATCTCTTACGCCAAACCAATTCATTTTCACGGAAAACAATGTGGTCCTCAGGCCTCCACAAAAGAAGCGTGGTCGCAAAAAGAAAATTCAGTCAAATGCCGACAATACATTGTCGTTATCTTTACAATTACTAACTGGAAGTAACGAATGCGGTGTAACACCAGCAAACGGAGAATTGCCATCTAAGTAAGTAACATCAACAAACACTTTGATATCTATTCTAAATTACATATTTGTACGGTTTTAAAGCTGCATCGCTGACAACACGCTAATGAACTCAAGTGAAAATCATGCTACCGGTCTGCTGAAGTCGAAGGAGCGCAAGAAGCACGACCGCTTCAATGGAATGTCCGAAGAAGAAGTCGTCAAGCGTACACTACCCGACCATTTATGTGAAAATCTTGATATAGTCATAGTGAGTGTAAATTTCCAATTGATAATGGCTTTAAATAAGTTTAATATATTAACATTATATTGACGTAGTCAATACCATTAATGATTTGTTTTTTGAAATTGTTCACACTTTTTTATTTCCATACCGAAGGGAACATAATCCTGCAGAAGTTCATAAACTGGACAACACTATGTATTTCTGTATATAAAAATATCATATATGCTAAACTTTATTAACATTTAGTTAACAATATCGAAAGACAAATTTACCAAAAAGTATTCAAAGTTGTTTAAATGGAGATTCCAGTGTATCAGCTCTTATCTCTTATTATACCCTGAACAGTTGTGACACCCAGAAAGAAACGTCGAAGACCCTATAAAATACATATATTCGTATATATGATCAGCATGACGAGCTGAGTTAATTTAGCCATGTCTGTCTGCCCGTTTGTTTGTATATGCGCTAACTAGTCCCTCATTTTTTGAGATATTATTCTGAAATATTTCACACGTCCTATTCTCCATAAAAAGCTGATCGTTTGTCGGAACTGCTGACATCGGACCTTTATAACAAATTTATTTGACAAGGTATCTTCAGCAAATTTGGCAGAGATTATTGTTGTTACTTTCTGCCGCTAAAACAACCACAACAGCAGCCATCCCTTAAGTAATTTGAAGAAATGCTGCCGAATTGACAGTCCTTGGCCGGATAAAAATCCGTGTCCGTTCCGGTTACATAGTCCCTACTGTCGTGGGAACGGGCAGAGATTATTAAGGTAGCGCTACAATATCTGAAGAAATTTTCCAGAACAGACCGCTGTATCATATATCTGTCATACAAACTGAACAATCAAAATTAAGTTCTTTTGTGGAATATATTTTATTTATGAAGAGTATTCTAGCTTCTATGCAACCGAAGTTTTTTTTTATGTATGTTGTTCCGTAAAATATTAAATCAAATTTCTAGCTCTAGCTTTTAATAGCTGTTGGTTAAGTCAAATTATAAAAATGTTATAACTACCATTATCTCTCGCTATATTAACCAAAGTGAAGTTGTAATAATTTAGACTCTTAACAATTCGTCTACTTACAGATTGGAATTAATCCAGGCTTATTTGCTGCATATAAAGGCCATCATTATGCTGGACCTGGCAACCATTTCTGGAAATGCTTATACCTATCAGGGCTTACAAGAGAACAAATGAGCGCTGAACAGGATTACAAACTATTGAAATACGGTATTGGATTCACAAATATGGTGCAGCGTGCGACTAAGGGCTCCGCTGACCTCACCCGCAAGGAAATCAAAGAGGGTAGTCGCATTTTAGTTGAAAAGCTTCAGCGATTTCGTCCCAAAATTGCTGTATTTAATGGGAAATTAATTTTTGAAGTTTTCTCTGGAAAGAAAGACTTTAATTTTGGTCGCCAACCAGAGTGCGTAGAGGGAACCGATACCGTAGGTTACTAGATATATTATAATATTTATATTTTTATATCTAGATATTTATTTGTATTACAGTATGTATGGGTTATGCCATCATCGTCGGCAAGATGCGCACAGTTGCCGCGAGCAGCAGATAAAGTGCCCTTCTATGCTGCGCTTAAAAAGTTTCGGGACTACTTGAATGGATTAATACCACATATGGACGAGTCCGAATGTATATTCACAGAACAAAAAATTAAGCAGGTTTGTGAGCAAGAGAATTATAAGAACTCCGTTACTATTACTTCAGCAGTAGGGGTTTTATGTGGAGCTAACAGTGGTGCAAGTATACCTACTTCAGCAGACGGTATGACCATTACATACAATAGGATGCCAATGCAACCAATTGATGATGTTGAAACAGGTGTATCGACACAACACCATGGAGCCGATGGGATAGGCAACGATGGCAATGATATTAGTGGGCTTTGTGTCGATACTGGCAATTGTGGTGGTTGCCCTAATAGTAACGACGGCAGTGGCACTGTGATAAATAATGGTGGAGGTATCAACAGAGATAGTAATACTATACCTAATGAGAGTTGTTCTATGCGTCAGGAGCAGGAGAAGTTTCCTAGATTTCAGGGGAGTTCTACGGAGACTACCTACATATATAGGACAAATGAGAATGAACGAGGCCACAATATGGCTGCTCATACCCCCGGCCCTGGGCCACCGCCACCACCAGGCACTTCAGTTATAGGCTCCATTATACAACATCCAAATGAAAACTACATGATGACTGGAAATTATGTGCAACCACCACCGGAGAAAAAAAAGCGCGGGCGTCCAAAAAAGATCAAAGACTTGGATTCAATCGATACAGTCGCACGTAATCGTATGCAAATTCTGGGACAGATGTCAAACACTAACGATTTTGGCAACATATTGAACTTGTCGATGATGAGTGGTGGCGGAGCTGGTCAAAGTGGCAATGATGCACTTTTGGGTAGTGCGGGTGTCGGCAACTGTGAGACGCCAAAGAAGAAGCGCGGCAGACCAAAGAAAGTGAAACCAACAAATGAAGCTCAGCTAATTCAAAATACACTAATACAAGGAAAGTCAAATGCAATGCCAATTCCGTCACTTTCCGGCATGGATAATAATTTGTCCCAACGCATGCAGCAGCACGTGCATGCCATTTATAGTAGTAAGGATATGCCAAAGCAGCAACAACAACATTCGTCCCAACAAACGTATACATCAAGTTCGCCTATGAGGTCACCAGCAATAAATTGCTCATATTCTGGTATAACACCGCCGACTTCAACGCAATCTACACCGCCCACACATCAACAGCATTGTGATAAATTGCATGAGAATGTTAGTGGTATCATGGAGAGTCCCACGAACTTAGCAGCAACTCAAAGGGATAGCGGCTGTAACAACAGAAATAGCTATTACAGTAGTAAACACATTGGGGCTGTCATAAACTCGAACAGTTCGGAGCTCCATGATGGATCAACTGTATCCACACCGCACGCAATAACTTCAAATGAACTTGTAAATGAAATACCAGCCAATGCTGCTATACAGGTATCTATAACTGCTGCTCACGAAACGCAGTTGGGTGAGTCTCCCCCTCCAAGTTCACCAAACATATGTACAGTTGACTTTGAACCACCAACAGCAAGTGCAGCTCTTGCAAATGAGCACGGAACAGAAATGCGTAATCAGGGCCCAACTGAAATAGAATCACGTATGCAACAACATCAGCAGTTGCAGCAGCGCACACGATACGCTAGTCCGGTAAACGAGTCGTCGTCTGAACATCAAGGAGACGATCACTATCAGCAATGGATGAACCCGCACTCAGCAATGTCATTGTCAGCACAATATACTCATCACCAACCAGAACAAATACAACAACCACAACCGATTTTAAACTTTGAGCAACAGCATCATATCCAGCAGCTGCAGCATCCAACACAGCCCCATCGAGAGCCATCAACAACGCCCATGCATGCACAATGGGCGCGGCAGCAGCACTACGCTGATATCGTTGGTGGTAATTATAGCATCACATCACAACATTTAAATCACCAGGAGCAGCAACAAAGGCAACAGCATCTGCGACACCCTCACCAGCAACAACAGCAGCATATTACTGAGCATCATCCCAGTCATATCTCACATCATCACTCACGTTTACCTACAGATGTGAGCAGCAAAAGCATCTCTGGTCTGGAGTCACTAGTCGATCAAATTCCTTCACTGTCAGATAATGAATCAGTACCAATATCACCAGCAGTAGGAAATAGCGGTGTAAATGCAGCAGTGGAGAGTCGTTTACAAAGTTTACAGCAACAGCAACAACAACATCATATCCATCAGCGGCAACCGCACCTTGTTGCCGGTGATACAGCGGTTGAAATACATACCGATCATTATTGTACACCAAACAGCACAATAAATGCTGTTCCTACGGTATCTGACACTGATACAATAGCGGGTAATAATAGCAGCGGCAGCAACACCCCACTCCCAATTAATGGTTTATATAGCGCAAATTCTCCACGCAATTATAGTATCCATCGACTTAACTCCTCAGCTGCTTCATCGCCAGTAATGATGTCACCTCACCATCAGCAGACACAACATCAAATTTCGTTACACCAACCTTACGGAAGTTCAGTAAGCACACCGCTAATGGCAGATGTTTTATTACCATCAACGCCGATGACAAGCTCAGCTAGCCATACAAATAGTCCAGCCGACAAAAATTTGGTTGAAGACGTTGCAAATGCATGTACACCACCAATCAGTGGCACTATCAATACTTCAACAGTGCCGACCAGCTTGTATAACAACGTAACAATAACAAATATGCACAATATAAGTTCTAATAACTTTTCCGTAAGCAGTTTAGCCGCTTCGTCTGTTACGCCCAGTAATAGTTGCAGCAGCAACAACAATTATGCTTCATTGTCGACAACAACTTCGGCAGTTGCCGCAAGCAATGTATATCATCATACAAACTTTATGGCCGCTGCTGCCTTAGCTGCGGCCGCTGTGAATTCACCCACCAATCATTTACAGACATCACCCAGATCTGCCGCTGCCGTGGCGGCTCATCACGCAGCGCACCACCATGTTACACATCAACAAATGTATTCACATCCACATTTGCCACCACATATGGCAGGTGTTAATTCCGTGTATGCTCCAGCACCATCACATCATCACCACCACTTGACACATCATCCAGCACACCATCATCATCATCATCACTCAACATACGGTTCAGCAGCGCAACACAGTACTAATAGCGATTATGGCAATCCTTTTTGTACGCCCACCGTTACCGGTGCACCACAAACTGCACCCCTCCATTTACCCAGTCCCAATTATCCCTACGGTTATGGAAGTCAAGTAGCCGTTGCTGCAGTAGCTGCTGCCCAAAGTAATTATCCAACAGCGATGCATTCTCATCATACACAGTCCCCGGAAGCGAGTGCACCACCACCACCCGGTGCGGTATCCGCCGCTGCAGCAGCTGCCGCTGCTGCAGCCGCTGCTGCTGCTGCCGCCGTTTATCATACTCATCACCCCGGCCATCATCCTCACGCAACACATCCGCATGCTCATCCGTTATCGATGTTTGATCGACTGAAACCGTCCGATATAGGTGGTTATGGCGGGTTCTGATGGTGAAAATAAAATCCAAATTACGTGTATGCATATGATTAAGAAGAGTTGGGCCATGCCGAAAGCGACGTTTAACTATCAAGTTAAAATATTATTGTAATACTTGAGAAAGATCCGTTTTATAAGCAAATATACATATATGAAGTACATGTGTATATAAACACATCTGTATACTTATATACTTTAATGTAATTAAAGCAATTTAAGGCAACCAAAGACTAAGATTCTAAAGCCGTTTCAAACTAGCCAATCTTTTGTGAGTCAGTCTGTCTGTCTTGATGTCTGAATAATAAGGCATATCTTTAGTTTTGAGTATGTTAGTGGATATGTTGAAACTAGGATCAATATACTTTTATATTCAGATGAAGTATTGTATTACGTATCTAATTCAATTATCTCATCTATTCAATAGAACACCAAATAAGTAATGTGCTCCGCATATTACTAAACACTATCATGCACTTTCTCCTCTTTAAATGCCACTGTAAACACTGTTGGAGTTCATGCGCACAGTTGAATGTGACTCTGTTTATACACAAGTAAATATTGATTTATTTTTCATAACGAAGTTAACAAAACATCCATACACTTTTCCTCCATTGTCTAGCCTTTGCAAGACTGATGGCGAAACATCTCGGTAGTCTTACCTTTGGTGAACCAGGAATCATAGCCGAAGCTGACTTTAGCCGTCTCATCAAATTTGTGATAGGCTCAAAGCGCTTTGTCGAATTGGGAGGGTCTTATAATCAACTATATGGAAGCTTCAATTGAGATACCTGTTAAAATCGACCTCTTAACCTATCCTAAACAAAACATAAATATAATCCTCAAAAACTGCGTCTGATGTATTTTGCTCAGTTGTCTCAGTTTTAAATTACTCCGTACATAGCCGTAATACATAACATGGTATAATGAACCAGATAATAGTTGTCTTCTCTGCTCGCTTATGTTCTCTTGTCAAAAAAATTATCAATATTTATTTGGCATATTTTAGATCAGTTGTATTAGTGTCAATGGTTCAAATGACAAATGAAAATACAAACTTCTTTTTTTATCTTTTGTTCTAAAATCTTAAAACTTAAAATCAATTACACTAATTTATAGAAAACAAAAATTAAGGCTTACAGCAACGTTTTTTAATGTGAAAAAAATGTCTCCACTAAGAAAGAATCATAACTCTATTGCGGATGCGTCAGCAGGCATGTTAGCGCAGGGTTGCACTACAAGTGCAAGGTTGTTTGAGCATCTGGTATAGCTTCTTTGATTCGCTAGAGAGTAACGCTTCGCGAATCGAAGTTACCTAACGTAACCGACTATTGTCCGACTAAAGTAACTCTTAATACTACATAAATCTTATGGATATGAATGGAAAATTAAAAATACAACGACCATGGTCTCGTGGTACGTAATTCTGAAATGTCCAATATAAAAAAATTTTTGTGATAGGATTTTTAAACAAATTTAACAAAAATGCTAAAAATGAGACTTATACGATATGAAAACCTGTTAAAAAATTTATTTGACTAATGGTCCACTATGTCTATTAATTATATATAAAAAAAACTATTTATGTATATCTTTAAGTTTTATTTACTAGCATGCGAGTTTATCTAGTGGTGCTCGGTCAGGCATATATAATTAGATCCGTTCTCTTATAATCATATCTCCAAAAAATTTGCATACCCTTATAACAATCACATATTTTACATATATGTAAATGAACAGAAGGCTTAAACAAATTTTTGTTTGTTATAAAATGTATTCATACACATTTATATACATATATGTTTACTTTAATTACTAATAAAATTTATGTGGTAATTTAGATTCGTAGAATTTTCAAGTAAACTTTGTAGCGAGTGAAAATTTTACCAAGTACATAACCAATTTGAAACAGCAAAGCGAAAGATACGGAAATGAAAAATAAAACACTTTTAAACTAATTTTAAGATATTAAACAAGTAAATATATTTTTATGTATATACATATTTGATACATAAATGGCTTCAAAAGCTATTATGTAGAAAACAATAATTTTAAAAAATTCAACAATGAAAGCATGAAATTAAAATTAACTGCGTGATTACTAACTTTTTATTTTCCTAAGAAAACTGATTAATCTCAACACAAAGGAAACTAGTGACACTTATTTAAGAATTTATTATATAATTAAAGCATAGCAAAATAATATATATGAAAATGAAAAACTAATAATAATATTTAAATAAAAAGTTAATTTGAACGAACGAAGTACATATTAAATAAGTGTATTGTGTAAACTAATGACATTTCTACGCAAATTTCGATAATTATTTAGTTCAGTAGTTATAAATCATACAGAAAGTCAGCAACAACAAACTGAATATGAAAAAAACGAAAGTAAATAAATGCAGTTATGGATATCAATTTATTTAGGGGCAGTATGTACGTGTGAAGTAAAAACTTCAGTCAAACAAATCTATAAAAAGTAGTTAAACGCGTAAGCAGCTGTATTATGCGAAGTAACTGTTTTAAACAATTAAAAATAAATCAAAAGCAGTTAAAGGGGCTAACAACTAGCCACACATAACAATTGCAAATTCAAATACATATACACATATGCTCTTGACAACAAAATTTAATTGCCAGATACATATGTACATACTATATGTACACAGAAACATTTGCTGATTGATGCAACTTTTTGATATCATCAGAACCCTTTGGTTGAACTTCGAGGTCTTCTTTACTAAAAAAAAAATTTTTTTGGTTTTTTTAGTTGATAATAGTTATAAGCAATAAGAGATGATGCTAAAATAAAAACATGCTTAGCAGGGATACATTTTTTAATATAATAAAACTATTTCGGTTTAACTAACATAGTTCAAGCGTAATTAACATTTCGCATATTTTGTTGAGCTTCCAACAAACATCATCTTCATTTATTTAAAGAAAACTATTACTTAATCATTGTTCGTTAAAACAATGCATAACACCTGCTATATATTCCACGATTGCTTTTGCCTTAGTATGAAAGTTATAAAAATGAGGTAGTAAAATTTAATGGAATAACGGTTCGCGGTAGTGAAAACATTATTTGATCTCCATTGTGAATTTGTGATTCTTGCTCTATGCCTTGGAAAAACGCCCTTTTATTATTTCATACTCACATGTTTTGTTTAACAACAAATGTTGAAATTAAATCATAATTTATGACACTAGAAAAAATTAAGGGGTTAGGTGCAGTCAGGGAAATGAAAAAATTACAATTGTAAACCTGTTGCTACAGAATATAATAGTTTTGTTCACCTAACGGTTGTTCGTATCACCTAAAACTAATCGAGATAGAAAGGGTTATATACTCTTATGGACAAAATAATAGGTGGGCGTTTAGCTGGTACTTTTTTTTTTTTTTTTTTTTTGCCAAATGGTGTTGTAACTGGTAGGGTGCGTTCGAGATGGCAATCACGACAGCAGTGTTGAAAATTTCTCAAAGTATCACGTTCTGCGTGAATTTTTGGCAATACTTGCAACGGCATCACTTTCTACTGTCACTTTTTGCACGCAATTTATGCAAATAATCGGCAACACTAAATTTTTGTCTGCACATCAGCAGAGTATCAGCAAATATGCAATATAGTAGATGTACTGCTGTAATTATTACGTAGCTCGAACGCATCCGTACTTTTTTTTTTGATACCTTTACATTTTTACGATGAAGGCGAAAGAATCATGCATAAGTATCAACAAATTGCATTACTCTTTTGTTAGTTTTGAGTTTGAGTGACTAGTTATCATTGCTTTATTAAATTTGGTTGGCCAATAAAATAGGTTTAAGTAATATCTTTAAAAAATAAGTATTATTTCGAAGTATTTTTCATATTAATGTAGAGTATTTGTAATTTTATATTCCTTTGAACACCATAAACTATAAACAAGAAATTATTTAGAATGGGTCGTAAAAGGCACTGTACCGATGTAGAGTATCAATTGGTAAAAAAATTGCGTGATGAAGGAAAAGCTTTTAAATCATCCAAGAAAGACTGGCCTGATTGATGATCGGCGTATACTTCTCATGGCACAAAAGAACACTTTTGTGACTTTCCGGCGAAATGCAGCTGAAGTTGGACTAAATGTTAGCACACCGACAGTTCGTCGTCGATTAGTGAACGGTAATCTACCGGTGCGTGAGGCCTGAAAAATTCCTCGTCTAAGAAAGGTCTACATACAGAAGAGAAAAGCTTTTGCCGCTGAACATAAAAATTAGTGCGGTCCCACTGAAGAAGAAAGTGGCGAAATATTTTTTTCAGTGACGAAGGTTAGATTAATTTTTATGGAAATGATTATAAAATAACTGTCCGTCGCCATAAAGGGAAATAATTTGATTGTAGATACACCAAAAAGACAATTAAGCATGGGCCGAAAACATAATGGTGTGGAGATAATGATCTTGGCAAAGTGTTGTTCCGTTATTTTGGATAAAGGACACAATGACAATGGCAGCCTTTTCTTTTTAAAATAAGGAGGGACTGTGGCGAAAAGCAAAGAAACTTTGGGATGCTACCCCCTTAGGAACCTGCCAAAACTTAATTCAATCCATGCCGAGTAGAATTGGAAAACTAATGAAAAACCACGGAGGTATTTCAGGTTATCAAAAACCCATGGACCGAAAAAGGAAAACTTGAATTTTTTGATTTTTATTTAAAAAAAAATTTTTACACCTATTATTTAGACCAATGATATTTCTTATTTTGAAAAAAAAAATCAGTTTTAAAATTCGGAATGAATGATTTTCGACATATATATGTTTAATACAGTAAACCGTATATATGTCTAAAATAAAATTGTTTTAAATGCAAATTCTTCAAATAAATAAAATAAAAACTGTATACACCTATTATTTTGTCCATAGATGTATATATATAAATGAACAAAAAAAGAGTCGAGTTGAAATCCGAGCTTCAGTCTGTCCGTCCATCGGTCCGTCTAAACAAGCTGTAACTTGAGTAAAAATTAGGATATCGTAATGAATACGTATACGTGTTACCTGGCAAAAAAGGGAGGACGAGTTCCTAGATGGGAGTAATCGGACCACTGCCACGCTCACAAAAGACCATTAAACGAAAACGAATGTGCCATAACTAAGCACTTTATAACGATATTAAACTGGAATTTGACACAGGGAATCGCAGGGGCATCTGTGCCAGCTTATGACAAAATTATCTAAATTGAACCAAAGCTGTTCAAAACTCCAAATAATGAATACATGGACTCCAGTTCCTATTGCGAACTTTTTTATTGAAAATATCGGTTAATCAGTGAGATATATTATAGAAACTCAGAGAGAGCCCTCATCTGATAATAATATGCCCGTGTACCAAAAATAGGCTGAATCAGATCAATAATTCCTTTAGTTTCCCTATACCTAATAGAAAATTTTTCCATCTTCCGACTGACTTTATAACACAAATACCGGTCAATATGAGAGTTATCTTAATGAAATGAAAGAGCGCATTTTTCTAATAACAATGTATCTTTGTTCATAAAATGGATAAATTCGGGTAAAAACTTGCCCTAGTTGCCACATAACTAATATCAAGATTTTAATGGTATGTGAGGTACATTAATGAAACTCTGAGATCATCTTTTTCTATTATTAATATGCGATATCGGTTACACCCGAACTTATCCCTTCCTTACTTGGTTTTTTTCTCCAGTAAATTATTTTATTATATGAAAAAAAAGACATAGATAGCGTCATTAAAGAAGGTTTCCACTTGACTTGACAGAAATTTGCAAAAAAAAAAAATTTGCTTTAGTAATGGCAGTTTGTGTTGATGCAGTTCTAACCGAAGCTCTTTGCGACACCGCAGAGTTTTATTAATAGTTATCTTTTAATTATATGTTTTTTTTTTATTTTAAATTTACAAAATGGCAGCCTCAGGAAACGCTTTTTTTCTAATTGTTTATAAAAAATCTAAATAAAAAAAAAACAAGTAAGGAAGGGCTAAGTTCGGATGTTATCGAACATTTTCTACTCGGAAGGTAGAGTGATACACAGGATTTTCGTATACCTATATTTTAATTAACAGTAGGAAGTATTGCAACCATTATTTACAATCACCGGAAAGAAGAGATTAGAAAGAAGATCTTTCTGATTGATGTTTGATTTGTATACTGAAAAGTAAAAAATTAAGATGGAGTTTAAAAGTTTGTTATATGGAAGCAAGTGGGATTGTATTTCGAATTCGCCCAGTCTACGATAGTAATAATTGGGTAACCTCACTTACCAAATTTAGTTAAAATTGCTCAAGTAGTTCCTGAGATTCAGGATTTCACCTAAAAGTTGGCGGTGCCACGCCTATTGTCCAATTTTTACACCGGCCCTATACAGCCTTTCTCTACCATCTTGGTTGTGAAATTTAAGATATGTGGCGTATTTTTTCAGTGAGTTATCGCACTTTTTGTAGTTTTTAACAAACGCTTTAGTTATCGGAGGTAGGATTGATTATAATCTGGTTTTATTATTTTCATTTTCACAGTATATGAAAAAGTTCCTTTCAGTAGGTTTCCTTAATTTAACTTAAGCGGTTTGGAAGAATGTACATTAAACCATTTAGTAGGTGGGGCTCTATTTTGAAAATTTTTTAGCCAGTAGGTGTCCCTCGTTATTGTGATTCCCCATACCAAATAACAACTATGAATCTTAATTAAGTGCATAGTTATGGTAGCTTATAGGGTTTCCCTGCGTTTTGTGGGCGTGGCAGTGGTCGAATAAAGCCCATCTGCAATACTAACTTGGGTGCCAAGGAATATATGTAGCAAGTTTCATCAAGATATCTCAATTTTTACTCAAGTTATCGCTTGCACGGAGAGACGGACGAAACTGGTCTCGTCATCCTGATTATTTATATATACATAACTCTATATCTATCTCGATTAGCTTTAGGTGATACAAACAACCGTTAGGTGAACAAAACTTATCAGGGGTGTTGCAGAATCTGATAGTTGTCGGAATCAGAATTGAAACCGATAAGAAAATGTAGTAGGTGTCATGAATTCAGATATTATTGGTTTGACGTTCAAAACAGAAACTGTATTGGTTTTGGGTGTCACGGAAACCAATTTTATCGGTTTTGTTATCAGAAACAAAGCAACAGGATTTTTGCTGACAGATTTGAAATATAAGTTAAGAAAATAATTTATGTTATTGTTACGATTTAACTTATCGTTTTATATATTGGGGAAAACATAAGAATAAAACAAAAAATGTCATAATTTTCGAGTTTATGAAAAAAATCAAGATATTTTAAGAGAATTTACACAACGTAACTAACGTAATATAACACCCAAATGCGTCTTTATTCAGTCGATAATGTGATATAAATCTGTAAAGTAAGCATGTATACAAACATACAAGTAAATGCAAGC